TGCAAAAACAAATTTCACTTTATGAATGTTTTGTTCATTGTCAGTGTATTAGTGAGCCTGACTTGTGTAATATATAGGATAACCACAATCATCTTTTCATCCTGCATAAATATGAAATTTGAATTTAGGTGTCGTCAACTAAATATTTAACTAATTTAGATAAAGTTATATAACTATTCAAAAGTGTGATTATTTAATTCACTCTATTGGATTTTATACTATTTTTGTTGGCATATAGGTTGTTGGAGTTGGAATATTCAAGAGTGAAATTTACCTAAATTAACTGAAAAAAGCAGATGGCCTATGACGTCAAATTACGTGAATGTGTAATTTATTATTTAGAATAGCCAACATAAACTTTGTTTTTAGAAGACTGGCAATCGTAACGCTGCACTATAAAATTTTTTTCTTTGTTAACTTAACGAGGTTTTTTGTAGTGTGATAACATTTCGTGTGAAAACTGTGCTTCTCCACTGACTTCTTCAACTCAAGTAGTTTGTTGGTCAGTCCCAACCGCAGCAGTTGCAGGACGGCTTCTCTTGGGATGAGTCGGTGTTGAAGGGACAGATTCTATTTGTGGTGTTGAAGGGACAGATTCTCTTCGTTTAGAACTAGTAGAATTTTTCTCATTTGGGGCTCCCTCTATTTGCAATCCATATTATTCCCCCGCACGCCGTAAAAACTTGCTGATGTTGGAAATATCGAGATATAAAGTCTTACTGAGGTAATCTGAAGGTGTGAAATGCTTCAGTTCGAGCTTCATTTGCCTCACATCACTTGCCATATTTTCTCATCGCTATCTCCACTTTCTGTAAAACTGAAGATAGAACCTGGGTCTGTTGATTTGGACGTAAGAATCACAGCCTTGTTGTGATGAAACACAGTGTAAACCGAAGACTCTTTCTTGAGGAAATTCCATTTTCTCCCCTGAGCTTTGACTCGTTTTTTAGAGGTAGCTATCAGAAAGTTTATAGATCTTTTAAGAGATTGCTTGATATCTAGTAGACTTCTTCGGGTCAAAGCTTTCAAAAAATTATAATATACTTGGAACTGTCAGAGAGCTTGTCAACTGAATCACGTCAGTGTTCTTTTCGATGGTACACCTATTCTGGACTGTGTTATCGCCTACTTTACTGTCAAACTATATCAAAATGATCAAATTAACTTATGGCTTAAAACCTTGACCGGACTTTGGACTTGACTTTTTGCGTTCAATTCCTAGACTCTAACTAACCACCTCTCTTTAAGATAATGGTTACTTCTTAAAYATATCGGAGAGTTGTTAGTTTAAAAGACTAGGCCAGAAATAAGACCAAAGAAAATAATATGCAGGCTCTAGGGTCTCCAGGTGCCTTTTTTCCAGCTTACATACACGCTTGTCAATGTCAATCAACGTTTCCGAATACGTGAGTAATCAAATGTTTTCACAGTCAATTTTGCAAGAGCGATGCCCAGAGTATGGACAGTTATATGCAKGCCTTACAWGATGTTCAAAACATTTCAGCTCAGTTAATATGGATGGTTATTCGGAATCAACAGACGAACCACTGACTCTTTCATGCTCCTTCGATCAACCACTGACTCTATCGAWAGATGAACCACTGACTTTATCGATCGGCTCAAGTATTGAAGAAGTTGATGTCAACCATGAAGAAGGAATTCAAGAAAGGATCGGCACCCCCGTGGCCACTAGTACCCCTTTCAAAAAGAAACGGACGTTAGAAGAAACTGACCATGAATCGATCGTTATCGTCTATCGTCATCTCTACTGTTCCCTCAGCACCTCACGAACGCCAAGAACTACCACATGGCACAAGAGATTCTGATGTATCTGAAGAAAGCACAGGAACCACGAAGAGCAGSGAAAGTAATAAACAAAAATGTTTACCATAAAGAGGAAGAACATTTTTCTTGCAAAATTGCGGTAAAGGTGATACCGAGAAAGCCATTATAGAGGCTGAAGGAGAAGTGGCTATTTTCTATGACATTCATACTGTAACCGATGTAGTTGTYGAGAGCTTAAGAACTTCAAACAAAGGAGAAAGAAACCTTTTCGACTCTGCACTAAAAATTGCTTACAAATTTTGTCAATTTTCGACTTAAAAAAGCTTTTGAAGATTCAAGACCAAAACACAACAAAASAAAGGAACAAAACTTTATCGAAGACGATCCGCGTTCGCAAACTGTCGCCTCCCTTTATTAAGGTGACTGCCTACTTTTGGAAATTGATTTTAAAACTTCGATTTTACGAATTGAAATTTAACTATGCTGATTCCAAATCT